ATTTTCCCTAAGAGCTAAGCAGTCGGAAAATCTTCGTAGTATATTGCGGGTGCCCTTGTAGTGAAAGTCTTCTCCCTCCGAACCGACCCATCCGGCCACCCATTTTCCGACTTCTTCGGCTGTGAATTGCTGTTCGGCGGGGGTGGCTCATTAATGCGGAAATGTGGCTTTCCACGGCAGTTGGATGAGGATAACGAACTGGATGAGCCAGAACTTCCCACTCCGAAGCGGCGAGAGCTACCTTGACAGATTTCGCCGGATGGGATAGAGTCCGATAGAGCGTTGTCGTGTAGCAAAGTAATCCAGTGCCGACTTCGGTCTATTTACGGACGTTTTCCCGTGATTGCACGATTCATATCAATCAACTGACATTGACGTGCATAATTGACAGATTCTATAAGTTCCAGCAGCCTTTGGTAGATCATTCTCTCCGATCCCACCGTACACACAGAGCATTGTTCTCTCTCCGAATCGATCTCTCTTTACTGATTTCGTAGTCGGGCCTTCGGGATTCACGCGAGATTTTCGTCGCCCTGGTGATTGTCGAGAAATATGCATTCCTCATCATAAGTGATGGTCGGATACGAAGAATACTGGTCCTCGTACATACCCAAGAAGGTTCGGCACATGATCGCTCGATTCTTTTCCCCGTTCAGTGACTTCATGCAGAACCCATCTGCTGAGCTTACCTAGAGATCTACGGGAGTCGCCGAGGAATCGTTTCTCGACTGACCCCGCATCCTGGCCAAACAGAGCTTGCGAGTGGTCGGGTGGTCCTCTGCGGGCTCCTCGATGAAACCGAAGTTGGCAGCTTCGAACCCTCCATACCGAGTTCTACACCGAGCTCTGCTCAGCGCATGATCACTGATTGCCTGCACGAGCAAGGAATGTCGCATCATCTCCAAAAGGTAGCAGAACCGGAGAACCTGATTTTCGGGCACCTGGAGGGAATTTTTCGGTCAGAGGGTAAGAAAAATCCGGTGTTTATTTTCGAACTTCGAAAAGCGTCACATGTCGTTAGGGACACGGCGTGAATTATGCAATAATTTGTTTGGCACGAATGTATCAAGCACAGCCGGAACTGATGCATTCAGCAGACATGCACACGGGTGTGAGCATGCCCGAAATCAGGCGTTTCTATCGAGCGCGAAATTCGTCGGCGTCAAGTTTGAGGGGAGCGCTCCCGTCACAAGTTTGAGGGAAGCGCTTACTACACAAGTTGGAGGAAGCAAATGCTCAAGTGCCCCACCTAGGTCACTGCTAGTCATTAGCTCTCGCAAAAGATTACTGCTGCCGATCGTGCAACTCTGGCTGCTGAAGATTTCCGCACTCCCACCCAAGGCATCAGCGACATGCTACGCATTCGATACCTTCGCCCGGCGCCTTCGAATTCGGGATGACATCACTTAATTCCTTCGCGCCCCCTAATCCTCTCGGAATGGACGAGATGCGTAAGCGCCATGTCAAGCTCTCAAAGTGCAGGAAGATGACGGGTCAGCTCCCGGATGAAGACGCGGTCGTTTCATTGTTCCCGTCCGCGCTGTGTCCCGCGAATCCCCATCCGGCGAAAGGAACAACACCACCATCGCCACGACCGCCATCACCACCACAAACTGCGTCTTGAGCGAAGCAATAATGGACGACCTTCCACGGCAAAGAGGAACCGGTAGAGGGCAGGCCGAGAGACGGGCTGGTGGGCACCCGCTTCGGCAACGCTTGGCAGCCGTCTCGGGCAACAATGCACCAGTAGAGCGAGCCTGTTCCGTTATCACTGTCGGTCGTCGCACATTTCCGCGTGGTTTGTCTAAGAGAACTGACTTTAGTTTCTGTTGTTGCTTTGTCAGGTGCCATAAATTTCGCTCCCCTCCGTCCGTCCCTCGGTTCGAATCGTTCGCGTTCATTTTTCTCTTGAACTACTCACTCCACGAAAACAAACAACAGCAACAACGAGAATCTCGACCAACAGCCGTCGCCGCCGACGTTCCCGCCTCAAACTCGGAAACCGAGCGGTTCTCGCCCCAGGTGAAATATTGATCAAATTGTGCAACTGTCATAGTTTGAGTATCGACGATTTCTCATGCTGTAACCCCGACAGCACCAAACGATGTCGGAGCGGTAGAGAACTGCAATTCGGAACCTTCCCGGCTATGTGGACGTGGTTCGTGCCTCCAGGAGCCTAAACAAGTTTATTTATCAATAATCGTGGGAGACGAATAAACGAATCGATCCAAAATTCCCCTCGTTGATTTCCTTGCCGGACTCCCTCGTGGAGTACCATGGGTGAGATTTTCCTCCTTGCAAACTCACACAATTCGATCAAACCGTGAGAGTCGACCCGGATCCCGTGTATCTGTGATCTTAGTTCCCGCGAATGAGCTATATGAAGTCAGGCAAAAGGAAGACCTCCGGCTCACAGTGTTATCTTCGCTGGTAGGCTTGCCTGCCAGCTTGTGTCATTTATTCTTAGACTTCTCCGGCTGAACTAGTGAGCCGTGAATCGAATCGGAATCAACTCTCCAGCGAGAAAGCCAACGTGGCGAGAAGGCTTCTCCGTGACGTTCGTCTCATAGCTCTGCGCGGCTTTGATTGGCGATGTCGAGCCTCGTTCGCTCACCTTCCGATGGGTGCTGCTTCTGTGGGTGTTTGGCAAACTCACGATGTCGGACGGCCTCGGTATCTTCAACTAACATCAGAGCAATTTCCATTCGACGAGCTCGCTTCCGGGGAATCCGAGGGAGCTTCGCGCGGCCGTTTCAGTCGCTCATACATCGATTGCCTTTCTTTCCCACAAGCTCTATCCGGTCAAGTTAGTGTCAAGAGAGAGAAGCTAGGGTTCTCGCTCGAGACTTATTCTTCGTCTCGGCTCCCCGAGTCGTTTGCCATCCTCCGCCTAGATTATCCTCTGGAAGCTTCGTTGACGCCTCAGTGTTCGTGTGGCTTGAGCCGACTAAAATGAGCGAGAATCCGACCATCCGCCTCGCCCTAGATCAAGATTGAGGGCGTCCGCTTCCCCGACCGTTGCATTCATAATAATAATTACTCTCTCGACGCATCTCGTCCCGCTAGCCTTCGCCCATCTCCTGATTTCCCTCCATCATTCGAGTATCATAGACGTCAGGACCAGAAGCAACACAGAAGACCGGGCGTCCGAGAAACGGAGATCCAATCAAACTGCCGGGATGCTTTCACTGTGTTGAGCTTCATGATCGGAAATTCTAGCGGAGGTCTGGGACGAGAGGAGCACAGGAATATACATAACGACCCTCTCGGCTGGCGATGGATTGTAGGCGAGAGAGGAGTTTGGAATCTCAATGGAGCCTGGAACTCATTATAGAACTCAGGCAACCTTCTAATTGAATGGAGCCGTGGACCCTGCACGCAAGGCGTTTCCATCGTTAGCGTGTCACGGTAGTCCACCTGAGAAGAAGCATCTACGATCGGGACCAGCCTAAACCGAGAAGATTCCGGAGCTTTCCGTTGATTGTTACTCGCTTTTCCACTACTCGCTCTCGACCGGCATCTCCAATTGGGTTAATTATGATGAGAAGCCTCTCCTTCCGCCCTTTGAGCGCCGCTTCTGATCTAGACAAGTGCTCCAACTCGAGATCAATTTCCTCTCAAAATTACTGTCTTGATTGGGAGAGCGTTCAGGAGCAGATGTTGTCTGCTAGTATCCATTACGTTCCAGCCGACGCTTTGATTCCATTGGGTTTCGGCATGTACAAAAATGAACTCACGCACATGCCTCGCTCCGTGCACTTCGGCCGGGGAATGAATCGTCTTCAGTGATCCTGACGAGCAATAACATGAGAATATTCGTGACGACTCGGTGGCAGAACCTTCCTAATCGGCCGTGTGCTTCAGCACGAGATTCATGAGAACGACCATTCAAGGGGCATGTTTCCGTGGCGTCGGCAAATAGAAGAGGCTGGCGCTCTCCACGAGAGTGTCGTCAAGCACGCAAGTTCGGCTTTCGAAGACGGCAACAACTGTTTCCGGGAGGCACTCGATCGTGATGAAGAGCTGTAAATGTATTCCTATGCGCCCCCTCTCATCAACACAAACACACCAGATGCCCTCCTGAGTGTGCCCTCAGGCCGCAGG